GTCTCTAGAATCGTACACGCGCGAAAGAAAAATATTTGAAGTGTTCTCGATGACGAATATTTTTCTGCGCGTCGCGCGCGCGTCAGGGACGTCGAAAAAGTTTGCCGGAAATGAAAGGACGAGAGGGTTCGGGGAAAAAAAAATCGGCGAACGTGACGACTCTCCTTCGACGAACGGTAGCTCGTGGCGGAAAATCTTTCGATCAACGTGCAACAGTCAGCAAGCAAGCAAGCAAGCAAGCTGGCAGGATAGTGCGCGAGTGGACAACGAGAGTTTCGAAGTACAATCGATAGGTCCGCCAGCCGATCTTCTTCCCGGTAACAACTCTACTCCTTCTCTACTTCCTGCGAGACTGCTCGTCTAGCAGTCTAGTAGGAGTGACCCCGCTGGCAGGAATCTTCCGAACGAACGATCAATAATCTGAAGCGAAGAGAGAGAAAGAGAGATAGAGGAATAGAGAGGAGAGAGGGGGAGGGGGAGGGGGAAGTGAGCGAACATCGGCAACGACGTTCTCGTGTGAAGGGAGCGAAAACACCGTCAAGTACAGAAAACAAAGAGCTCCGAGAGCGTGGGAAAAAAATGGCGAGCTGCGCGCTGTCAGCCGGAAGTATTACGCGAAGGAGCTCTCGTGCTGTGTTCGACATTCCGAGTTTCGTTTCGATGCCTGCGCTGTCGATACGCCGACTGTCGAGAACTCGATGGTAACGGAATTGCTGCAATACCGCGCCGACTTAGGTCATAAATTAAAGACACCGGGTAACTTACGAAAGGAAGAAGATATCCTCGGCTACGGTTGGATAAAACGGGCTTGCTTCAAGTTAAGCTTAATGTTTGAAGAATAACGTAAGAGACATCGTTAGTAATTGTACTTGAAAGAAACATAGATAACAGAACCTTCGTGTTCAATGAAAGATCGATCAATTGTCAAGTGAAACAATTGTTACTATGATTAATCTATGGTCTTTCTTTCTCTCTCTCTCTCTCTCTCTCTCTCTCTCTCTCTCTCTCTCTCTCTCTCTCTCTCTCTCTCTGTCTTGGTCTCTCTCCCTCTCTTTTGTATTTTAGTTCTTTTGAGTCACACTCTTCAAAATTATATCGACCATCTATAAGATCCGTGTGTTTAATAAAACATGTATAAACTCGTGAAACACACGTATAAACTTTAGAAATCAGGTTGGATATAGTGAGACAGTTGCATGTGCTTCTCTGAACGTCCAAAATATTTTTGCCGAGTATAACTGGGTCGTACGTGACTCACGATACGAAACTTCGTTTTCGCCGATGAAGAGTACCGAGTACTCAAATTTTATCATGCGCTCCGCTAAAATAAAGAAGCAAAACGAAATTACGAGAGACATAGATGGTAACTTTGTAACGCTCTGGATTGACGTGGTATGCATGTGTGACGTTTAAGGCACTTCCTCGTGACGCGCAACATCTCTAATTCATCTCCCATCTATTTTACGAGTAATTAATTATATCTGAACGGATTAGCGTGCCGCAATAATCATCAGGGCGCAGAAGTTCATAAGGATTTACGGCAAACCTTTGTACTCGGGCGATGCAAAATGCGGGCGAATTGCTTTACCAAACTTTGCGAACTTTCCTTCGCATTCTAGTAAATTATAATTACTGCGTTTATTGCAAGAGCGGTAACTTTATGTATATATACACATACATACATATATATATACATATATATATATATATATATATATATATATATATATATATACACGCATATTTGAAAGTTTACGAGTTAATAATTCAAGTTGAATCGTTATGTGATAATATAACAAGTCTATTTGTTATATGTATAATGGCGTAACAAACGCTAATTAGGCTATCGCTGAAAGTGAAGCAACTTGTATTTTTTTTCTGCCGGAGCGCAATAATAAGAAAAGTTTTCCCGCCCGCATATTTGAAAAGTGTGCTAGTTACATTAACTCTTAAATAACGAAATAAAAGCAGAAATTAAATGTCAAGTTAGCAAAACGCTTAAAAGGAGGCATAATAGTATACAAGCGGTGTCAGAGGCGAGAAAATCTACTGAAATATCTGTAACAAGCTGCGCTATTATAAAAGCACGCGCATTATGCAGAAAGCAAGTTTGAATAAAGTTGAAACTTACAGAAACGTATTATCCTATGTCGTTGTGTCAAAGACTCGGTCGAGAGACTTTGACGAGCTACAATAATCATGAACTTGGTTGGAATAATTGATCATTGAGAATGCGTTGAATTCACTCTTAGGTTTGTTCAATAATCTGATAGCAAAGGCGCGGCATTCCTTCGAAGAGCAAGTTTCTCGTGTACTCTTTAATGAAAAGATATGAAAAGGCAGAAAGGGAACCGAAAATTTTCTTCGCGATTATGTACACGATTTTACAAGGGAATAATTCCCCGCGGAAATTTGAATAGATCTTCTCCTCGCTTCTTCCTCGCCGTGGTTACCGCGAAATTTACACTCGAAAGAAAGCACGACACGAAGTCTGCGCCTTTAATTGCACTTTCCGCACTTTGTTCTTTCCTTCTTACCTCCTCCGCCGAGAGGAAGCTCGTACATACATCTATCTCATACGAAATGCAGCGGGTGCAGGCTAAGTTCCGCTAGCACGAACGGGCCTATGATCGTCGTGGCTCCTTGGGAGCGCAGCTCGTTGCGATTATGCGCGGCTTACCCGACGCATCGACCCCGGCACGACCTAGTATCCCGCGGAAGCAGCCCCGTGCGTCGTGTAAATAATATTTATGTAGGGGGGGAGGTTCCGGCGTTGCGCGCCAAGCTACATCGACGTATAAATACGTGGGGAAGGTGTTATCGGCTATGCGGCGGGCAGTTCTTGACACCACTGAGAGATAACCACCACAGCCCCGGATAGTCCGGATAGCGTATACGTGGGGTTTGACGTCCCGCCCGGCCCCGGATGAAACTTAGATCACTTCACCCCCGCGCACTCGCTCCCTCACGCTCCCTCACGCTCTCCCACCTCACGCTCTCCCACACACGCGAGCGCGCGTTCCTGAAGATAAACTCCCCGAGATAAACTCGAGGATCTTGGAAAACCGCGGCAAGACCGATGGCTATGCTGTCTCCGCAGTGCATCGAGCCTCGATTCCCAACTTCGCCTCCTATCCTGGCGTCCATCCTCCCCCTTTCTCGTCCTTCGCCGCACCCTCGTCGCCCGCTCGTCGTCGGTCGGTTAGTCGGTCGGTCGTTCGGTTGGTCGGTCGGTCGGTCTGTGCTTGTCTCCTATTCAGACGGTAGCCGTATCTCTCAACCGAAATGCATCCAGAGAGCCCGAGTATTTGCAGTATATCGCGCGCCGCCCTCGCCCGTCAGTCTTGTTTGGCAGCGGCGGCCGTGTCGAGGAAAAATCGCCGCGTCGGGATTTTTGGACTAGCGTTCGGGAGCGTGCATTCGCGCAGAGCGCTCGAGAATCGCGCCGCCGGCGCACACTTGCATAATGTCACCTATCCTTTACGCTCGATCGCTCGCCCCCTTCCCTCCCGCTCCTCCTTTGTGGCAGCGATGTACGCGTAATGCACACCCCGCCACCCTTTTTCGCCCTTTTCCCGATACCGATTTACCCCGACATCGTATTTCACGTCGCGTACTGGCGCTCCCGCTCTCTCCCCCGATCGGCGCAATTGTGCCGGATTATGCTGGTACCGTCATCGTGATATTGCCGGCGTATCTGTATTGTTGTTGACTGCGGCCCCATTACCGCTAATTGCTACTCTCCGCGATATCTCGATCGCGTACGATACGTAGCAGTCAGTTAATGCCGGTTCGTGCACGGCAAGATGGTTATGGGCGTATTTTTAGGCCGCTGTTTGTTTCTCTCGTTTCCTCTTTTTTTGTTGTTGCACGCATGAAACGCGCAGAGCCGCCGTCATTAGGTCACTTTGCTCGTAAAGTTTGAACGGTTAACCGCGGATGATGTAGCTCGTTAATGGACAATTCAAACTGAACTGGTCGTGTAAAAGCGATATGCTTCAACATGTAATAATTGTTTGTATTTTGCGCGGTGGTCGGTGGATTGAGTTTTCGATGTCCTCGTTATTTTTTTTTATCGAAACACGCATACGGGAGGTCTCGTTCATTATTACATCAAAAGTGTCAGGGTATTTCGATATTTTTGTCATTTTTTTTCCGTCAATGTTGATCGGGATAAATGGCGAGATTTAAATATGTATGGCTACATGAGAGTCCGTTTATCGCGGAGCGACAAAACTTTCGCGGCTTTAAGAAGTCATCAGGCCATCGTACGATCGCGCTGGCAAACAGCTACGGTTCGCCTATCACTTGATCTATTGTAATATCGCGAGTAGAGTTGCCGTGGGGGTCGCTGCAGCACGTTCTATCGGCTATAAATCCGAAATGGTTTCGTCAAACCACGTAGTAAGCACGTTCGATCGCTACATGTCGGCCTTCCGGCATCGCACACGGAAGCGTTCATTCAGTCCAATGCGAAGTAGCCAAGATAAATTTGCACAGTTTTTTAGGACGAGATTGTGTCGCGCGTACATCTTTGAAACCCGGGAATGCCGCGGGTTATTCAAGGGATACACGTTTCTCAAGGCAAAATCAATACTGTACGCTCTCATTTGGAAGGGGTAAATCGGAAATTCCGTCGGATTAATTGAAGCGGTGTCAGATATTAGATGATACTTCCTATCGATAATAGTAACGTTTTAAATTGGATTACTATTGATAGTCGCAGTAATCTCGAATGATTTCAAAGTAATTACCTGTTATCTCAGGTAGTCTGGAAATTTCAGCGTAAACCTTAGCATTGCGACGGGAGTGAGAATTGATACACTAAATAAATAATCTGTTTAAGTGAGGTCCATTAATCTCCGGAAACATCGTGTTACCGCACGCTCGAGTGTGTTTCGGCGCAAAAAATCAGCCACTCTTGGCGCGCGAGAGAACAATAATATATATCGCCGAAACTCGTCGCCCAAACAATAATACACTTTGTGTTTTGGTTGCAGGTCATATCTTGACGCGGAGACGAACGTATCGTGCTGGGATCTTCGTGAGCAGTGGCGGCGACGTGAACTTCGAGATACGTGAGTGATACATTGCATTTTTATTTTATTTGCAAGGAAATATTCCGGATACGATTGGAAATGTATCAAACCTCGAGAGATTGCGCTATTAAGATATTGATATAGAATCGAAAATATAGTTTTGGGATAACAAACGTAGCAATTTTGGATGATTTCAACGATTCGCGTTATCTGGAGCATTCCTATTGTCTCAAATATTCCATGAAATTTCGGCACGTGTTCCAGCATTAAACGAGAAGGTTTTTAAGAGAATTGATACACTGAAGACTAACTTCTTCAACATTCATTAATTCTAATAAGCGAGTTTTAAACTCGCGTGACAAAATTTTTCAGCGATTTCTTCCTTACTTGTGTCTTTTCGGAAAAGTTTTGTCGTTTTGGCATTTCCTTCTATCACGTCATTTTTAATCTACAAACGCCACGTACAAAAATGATTGAAATGATGTTACTGAAATATCGCTCGGTGTTCGACTAAAAATGAACATTTATGCAGTTAACGATTGCATCGTCGCACGTGTGGCGCGATTCTCATATTAATTATTCCATCCGGAAACGGAAATATCAAAGTTAAATGAGACAGGATTTTGATATCCATCCTCCATTATCAGATCAGAGTACTTAATTGCGCCGCGAACTAGCACAATAATCAATAATCGATGACTTGTGACATATTAATTATCAGCAATGTTAACAACAGTACGCACCGAATGGAAATTTTTCAACTCCGCATGCGAGAATCATAATGAAGCCATTAAAGAGTATTTTAAAATTTAACAGTACTATTAATTCAAATTAATTCGCATACATATTGCGCGTCATTATACATATATAAGTGTTCAATTAACATTGTGCAGATTTTATTGCACCAAGAAATTTCTGTGTATTCACAAGATCTTGTATTAACTTTTTATATCCGTGAAGAAAAGCTGTTGAAGTGAATTTGAGAAAATTTTATACCAATTAATTTACTTCGCGACGCAATCATAACAACATCGTGCATGAAATTTAAAGTGTTTCAACGTCTTTTAATCCCGAGGATTGTTTGTTTTTTGATATGAATTAATAATAAAATATGAAAGACCTCGATAATCTGCGATAAGCGCCAAGCGCTAATTATCATCACGTACTCCGCTATTATTCACTGTATCGTTTTGCATTTAACCCATCGAATCCAAATTTGCACTAATCTGTCTACAGTAACAGGGTTGCGCAGTATTATTCGTCTAAATACGGGCAATCTGCCGCACGCGTGGACGTTCTCACGCCGGGATCTCGATCGGAAACGGGGACGCGTGTCCACGGATCTTAACGATAGATGCATATCGAGCCGTGACGCCGAATCCGCATAATGTTTGGCTTTTGTCACGACGGTAAACGTTAAACATCGATTACCGTAATTGGCAGGGCCACGTTGGGCGTAGCCATTATACCGTCGGTAACCGCAGCCGCATAAGCGGTGCAAATTCATGGTTATGCGTACGCTAAATAATCCGTTTAACGATCGGTGCCTACCGGGTGATCGCCGGACGACCTCGTAAAAGCCGGATGTTCCGCTGACCGTCGTCGCTTTTTCACACCACGAGCGTGATGCCTCGCAAATGTTGCGGAACGTAATAAAGCAGGGGCGACGCGAACGCGATCACATCGCGATCGTAGACTCTCCCATTTGCGGTTCTTACGCCTCGGATTTCGCGCGAAAAACAAAACCGATTCCGAGATAAAATAATTCCGCGATAATAATAATAATCTGTAATCACCGGTATAATTTATGTTAAAGCAATTAATATTAAAGCAATTAATTTGAATCTTCTGTGCGCGCGCGCGTGAGTAGAGAGAGAGAGAGAGAGAGAGAGAGAGAGAGAGAGAGAGAGAGAGATGGAGAACAACTTCGTATTTTAATTAAATCTTCGTGGTGAAAATTTAACGCGCGTACAATTCGTTGCTTTGTAGCGCGCCAGTATACATTGTTATTCGTATTCAATAAACGATAGGAACGCTATCGAACGCACGTCCGTGTATATCGATGGCGGCGTATGTTCTAGTTGGTCGAATTTATTTATCGGCCCGATTGTATAAATACAGATTTTTTTGCGTGCGCGCGCGTGTGTATGTATCTGTTCTCAAAGTTACAATTCGTTGCGAACCGAAACGTCGCGTTACTTCTTTGCGATTGAAGTTACATCAAGACGAGCTCAGGCCAGGCTGGCTTATCTCTCGGATTTGCTGCAAATCCTTTTTTGCGTGCATATATCTCGTGTTAAAAGTGAGCGGCACATGCGCGAGATATGAGAAAAATTATAGGCGGGGATTTTAGATCGGGGTTTTTCTCGGGGATTTGTTCGAGAATGATTGTTAATACGGTCAGCTGGATAGTCTCAAGCAAGGTCCGACGGGGCATTACGTGCGAAACGGGCCGAACGTGTCGCTGTGTGAGCAGGTGCGCTTCCGCCTTGAATTTCGCTCGAGTTTAACGTCGCGACACATGGCTACGGTATGTGCGCGAGAAAGGGGTGCGGATGAGCGTGAGGGGCCGCGGGGCACGTGTCGTATGTGTTTGCGTGTGTGTGTGTGTGTATGCGCGCGCGTGGAACGTGTCAAAAAAAAAAAGAAACACCGAAGAAAACGCGGACGGAAGGACGGCGCGAGAGTAAAGGGAGATTTGCGCGAAGGAACGTGTTTTGCGATCGAGCGCACCGCCGCCGCCACCGCCCCGGGATTATTGGAAATGTAATTTCGTATACGATACGCCGCCGACAGAGGCAGAATTACGTGTGCACGCGGACGCATTTAATGCCTAGCTATCGGTTCGAGAGCGCTACCGATGACGCTCCAGGACTGGGCTTAAAGGTGATGGACCGTGCTAAACGGGTATATTTTCCGCGCTTTCTGACAAAGCTGATTTACGGGATGCATGTAGCGCGCTTCTCGCCGGCGCGCCTGATGTAAGCGCGAACTGTTATAGCGCCGTGACGGTGTGTGAGCACGTCTGTTGTGCACGCTGCGTGTGTACGTGCGTGCACGATATAATATTTCTGTCCTATAATCGATTTAGGAAGCATAGCCTAAAATCCAGACTAAACGGTGCCATTAGACGAGAATACATAGAACAATATTAGTATCTATTTAAAACTAACATTAAAACTGAAATTTTGTTGGAAGAATTTTTAAGTTTCTTGAATGTTATAATTTCATCTGAATATTATAATAGTCTCATAAGAAATACAATATGATTATTTTCATGACAATGACATCTTTCTCCGAAATGTAAAAACATCATATTCTCGATTCCAATCTTTTGTGCTTTCCATTCGTGAAAATTTTATTTTCGAATAATAAGAATATATTTTTCCTCGTTGAATCATATAAAATGCATCAATGCAAGTAACCTGTCGTTGCTTAACGCATAATCTCATTCCAAGATTTATATGTCACAAATTTATATATCTTCAAAACAAGAATGTCTTTTCTTCTGTGTACGACCTTATGGGAGTTTTTGAGATATTTTATCGCGACGATTGCAGACGGTCACTTCGAGAGCGGTGTACGCATCGTGCGTGTGCGTACAAAATTGCACGGCGAGATGAGAAACGCTAATTCCGCGAGATGGAAAATTAAAAGACAACAAACCCGGTGGCGCGCGAAACGACGGATTCGTAAGTGCGCACCGACGGAATTCCCGATGAGCGTGATTTTGCCCGGCGCGCGGAATTCGCGGACCAGATCCTTCAATTAAGGAGAGCCCGGGGATCACGTCCGAATCCGCGAACACAATCCGGTGGGCCAGCCGTCGCGCCAATCGGAAGCACTTCTGCGGCCACTAATGTCAGGGGCCGCCGATCGTGCCGGATTAACGGCCTTAGATTTACTTTGTCAAACGACCTGATAATTAAACCCGATAAGTGATCAAACGGCAAGTGAAATTCGTTATCGACCTTTGGCGGTAGGACGACTGCGTGCTTGCTTTTTTAACATCCACGCGTTGGGATCGTACGCGCGTTACACGATAACGAGTCACAGTCCTGACCGCGGAAACTCTATGCCGTATTAATCAAGCGAATTTTTTCGGCTGATTTTATTAACGCTTTAATTACCGCGAGAGATATTGAAAAAAGGTTGAGTGAACGCGAGAGGAGTAGCTCGCAAGCAGAGCCCTGCGAATCGAAGCCCAATAATGTCTGATCCGGCTCGATTCATTATCAAATATTACCTGGCTAATGATTAATATCCACTCTTGGTGAAATAGAATCGAAATCTTGAATCAAAATTTTAATCTCTATTTTCGACCTGAACTTTCTAACATCTCTATATTCCGAAAGACTAGTATATGTTTAATACACATGGAAACTGAAGTCCTACATAGCGCCTTTAATGGTAAAAAATGTCCGAAACTTGTAAATTCTAAAGAGGACTTTTTGACAAAACTAGTAGATTAAATAGAATCTAAGATGTTGATACAGGCTTCAGAGTATCACAAGTTAAATGGAATATTGAGGTCGAAAATGGGGACAAAACTTCGACTCGGGTTTTTGATCAGACCTTTCTCGTCTTAGTAAGAAACTGATCCGGGCCGGGTCTTTGCCACAGCGAATACAGATCAGGTTATATTTGATAATGAATCGGGCTAATGAATCGGGTAGATCGGGTACTATTGAGCCTTGAATTGCAGTGCTCTGGCCGCAAGCTCCATCCGAATAAGCTGTCCAATTGCATGGCGCAACGTTCGTGCTTTGCGCGGCAGGTATCGCCGGAAGGAAACAGGGGGACGTTCATTACACGTTACATTTGTTTACGCAACGCAACGCGAGATTAACGCCGTCATCAAACACGTCCGATCAATCAGCGCACGTCCGCGATTATTGATGCCGACGATTAAGGGTCAAATGCACGGCTTTGGCTTAGTCAGCCGTTTTCTCCTTCCTCTGCCCTCTCTCTCTCTCTCTCTCTCTCTCTCTCTCTCTCTCTCCTTTTCTCTCTGTTCCTCTCTCGGCATCTCGTCATAG